CCCAGTCTCTTTGTAGTTCTTCGGTGTTCCTTGATTCTTGGTGCGTGAACACAATATACGTTTTAGTGTTGAACCTCGACAGGCTAACAGTGTCGGCTCCCTCACAGTTACACCGTGTTACTGAATGACGTTACTCCCAACTCATTGACATATATATATATATGTATATCTCAAATGGAGAGAAATCTTACCTTTCCTGCTTACACTGTTTCCTTCCCAGACGTCCGTATCTTCACACAAGTGCACAATACCACGCAGCGCAGAATCGTCACGTGGTTGATTGGATAAAGTTACTAAGTATGCTATACCTCATTCGACCCCGAGGACGTCGGGTATCGCTTCTAAGGAAGCAGACATCGTAAGATACACGACAGCCTGGTTGACAAAGCGTTACAGCATACGCTAAGGCAAGGGTAATTGCAACACAAAAAGAAAATCATTCTCCTGAACAAACTGTGCAATGATAACGTTACGCACCCATATACCGACAACAGAGTTAACATTATAGTCCGTATCATCAGGGCTCGACAGCAGAATAAGCAAATATATTTGTTAACAGTAAACGTATTATAACGGCTCATGAGCCTAAGTTCCTGAATTAGGAAAATTTAACGGCGTAATAAAGGCTCACTTGCCAACTCTACCATACAAAATACAGGCCGACCCGACATGGGATGATCCATTCACCACGAGCATCACACGCCAAGTCAGAAGTACAATCTGAAAGTAGAAACGATATTATTTAGCTTAAAGGCAAACAATTATAAACTTTGTAATGATAGTAACACCGCCATGCATGATGATAAGCGAGAGAGGAGACCTACTGTCACGGCCCTTATATGTACACCTAATTCACCAGCAGTGATTACCTTCCTTTACCATTGCATACCACTACGGAGTAAGTAGATATTCACAATGCATTCATTTCATTTTAATTTCATTGGTCAATGAGGCTTTGACAAGTTTCCATGTCACCCTCCCAGGAGGGTGCTACTGGAAAAATATTACCCGCTGCCATGGTAACCGCCAAACTCTCGCCGAAAAGCTGCATCGCTGACAATCGTATGACGTCATAATATGGCGCATGTAGTGTCCGGAGTTCGAAAACCGTTCGATTAGCTGTTTTGAGTTCACTATGTACACCTTTATTTTACCGACTTTCACTGTTTTATTTAAACTATTCTATACATTAAGTCGTTTGCACACTCAACTTAAACATAATTAACCATTTTTATAGCAGTGTTAAGCTGATTTAAAACATCAAGTCGAGAGGCAGACGCCATTTTGTTTACATGTCATGTAGTCGGTTGCGATATCTAAAATAAAATCAGAAAGACTTGTGAAAATACATCCCTATCTATACAAAATTTGCAACTAAACGTTAGTAAATATTTGCCTACCTGATAAATGGTATATTTGTTCCCGTTTAGAATGGGAAATTCACAAGAACGGTCAGGTGAAACACCAAATCCATGCCACTCATACTCCATCATGTCCTGTTGCATAGTTAAAAGAATATATGTCAAAACTTGAACCACCAGAAATCTGCTCTCTGCTAGCTTCCCCACAAGGCTGTCACTGCTGGAAATTGGATTTGGAAACTACAACGAGGTTTCGCCTTGAGCACGACTGGAATATATCAAGGGCAGCAGACTGTAGATGGGTTTTATACTTCCCTTGTCAACTACAGTAACCACATTCTGATTGTCTGTGCACCAAATAATCCTTCGACGCTGCATTTGATGAATAAAGCTTTTCAAAACAAGATAACAGCTTCTAGAACTTTCTCTCCCAAGTGGAACTGTTCTTACCCTCCTCTTCTGACCACTAACCATTGGAAGATGCCGAGTCCATCTGTACACAGTAGCCTCCATACCCAGTGTCACTGTACACAACACGACTCACTTCAGACCGTTTGATCTGTACTGTACTCGACACTGTACTCGATAAACGAGCAATGTTATCAATCCAAAACCTTAACTGATCAACACTAAGCACCGGTAGTTCAACAGTGCTTTTCAAAGACAAAACATCGATGCTTAGACACCTCGTCTTGAGTTGAACTACATTTCCCATCACTAACTTTATACCTGTGATCTGTCCGATATTAGTCTGAGCACGATATCACGGCTTGCAGCTCGTTACAAACAAACAGGGATAACAAACGACCGTCCCCGTACAGGCAGATCTCGAGTCACCACTGCAGCCCAGGATCGGTACATCCGGGTACTTCCTTTACGTGATCGTACTGTAACGGGTGAAAGCACAGCAGCCAGGGTGCCTGGGCTTCGGAGGATATACGGTCAAACTCTACGGAACAGGTCGAGAAAGATTACACTGAGAGCCGACGTCGTGGCTGTACTACGTCGTCACCATCGCGCTCAACGTCTCTGTTATGTAAAACTAAGTTGTTTGTATAGACATTTCCTTCTTCTAAACTGATGTAAAAATTCATGTTCTAAAATCTATATGTGGACGAGTTATACATGTTTGAAAATACAACATTTTCGCAACAGATTTCTGGGTTATGCGTTACTTTTTTTAAATAGTATACCTTGTCACAATATTTTCTGCCTCTAAGTACATATATAGAGAGTTCTACACGAGGTCTCATTACATACGAATTATACGAAACGAGTGTCCTTCGTATGGTATGTGATAAGGCTATACATAAATAAATATATTTACATTACAGTGATAAAACATTTGTTCTATACAACATTGCATTGTGATAACATAGGAAGGTCACGGGTTTCGTATAATTCGTATGTAACGAGACCGAGTGTGGTATTTTATTTATTACCCTCGTCTTACATGCATTGAATTGACAAAATAGCATATTTTCGTTATTTTATTGGTTTCAAACCGAAATCTTCGCGGACAAAGAGGTTGCGGAAAACTTCTGTACTGTAGTACAATATTTGCATGACGTCACACTGTAATGACGTCACTGCCTTGGTAACCGACGTCACGATGCATGTCAGTTGTCATCGCCTTGTACAGCCTCCTACAGTAAACTACTCCGTAGCACCCCGTTTCTGGGTTTGCAGTTGCTTCATTCGGCTAACATCACTGGTGGAAACATTGCGTTTATGTTTTCGACGGATATAATGTCCCAGTTCGACTCACAATTAAACAGCTACACGGCAACGTTCGCTATGTTTAGATTCCCACAATGCATATAAATTGTAGAATGAACGAATTCACGTGTTTGTTAGGAATGAAAAAATAGTTACGTCAGAATGTGCCCTAAAAAGAGGTCATCGGTTATCCAATCAAATCGTTAGAATCTCAGGTCAAGTCGTTACGACACAGGTCAACGCGATACGACACTCGTGTGACATACCAGAATAGTATGCAACTACCCATACGTTGACCACGGGTAATAAATAGAGAACCTCACCCGAGTGTCTTTTGATATCAAATATATCACCACGAGTTGATAAAGTAACAAATATCCGAGGCTTGCCGAGGATATTTTTACTTTTATCAACAACTTAAAATGATGTTTTTATTATAATTGCGTCGTTTTATTAATATGTTTTTCAATCCAAATTGACAGTTATTACCAACATCAGTGTGTTTTCTGATGAAAAAGCATATCGACCAAACGCACCTAAAATGGCAGACGTGTTGAAAGGTTCCGTATGACATTCGTTAAAATGAAAGTGCACGTGCATATCGTGACAACCCTACTAATGAACGCGAGTCCCAACTTCCCCTGAAATCATTTTTTGTTTTGACACAATCGCCATGGACGACTTACGAGAGATCAGAGGAACCAAGTCTTCGGACGATTGCAAGTTGGCCAGACTGCACGGAGGGTAGCCAATCATTTTAATGTATATGTTAGGACACTCTATCGACTGCAGGAGTGACATCAGGTCACTAACAGTATCCAAGACCGTCCACGCAGTGGGCGACCTTCAGTAACATCACAACGTCAAGACCAACTCCATCTGCAGGATCGCTTCCCCAGAGAAACAGAAACAGCATGCCAGGCCACTGGGACTCATCAATGCCAGACCCATCAATGCCGATACAGTGCGTAGACGTTTGTGCGGGAGAAATATCTGCTGTCCACTAAATCAGTTGTTGGGGAAATGAATGTCAACGACACAGTTGTCAGCGGTTTGGTCAGAAACTACACGGAAACCAGTAAGGTGAAGGGTGGCCAACGTTCTGCACAATCCGTGTTGATGTGAGATCGTGGAGACGAGACACTATTGAGGCTCATTCGATTGAAACCTGAAAAATGCAATGGTCTGATGAAAGTCGATGCCTTCCTCGTGAAGCTGGTGGCAGCGAAATACATCATTTGCAGCGAAAAACGTTCACCCAACTGTTGCCGTTGGTGGAGATTCCGTCATGGTTCGGGGATGTGTCTCTCATGACTGTAAACTTGGTGACGATACTTGGGAATTTGACGGGGGATCAGTATATCCAGCAAGTGCTGGATGCAGAAACTGTTATTTTTGATAATGATCCTCTTGCTATAAGACCTGTATTTATGGATATCGACGCTAGGACCTACCGTTCTCGTGACAGCTTTCATTCAGAATAACGCAGAACATATGACCTTGTGTGGTTGTTCTGATCAGTTGTATTTACATATTCTTATTGCATCAGCCTTTATCACTATTCCATTCTGCATTATTTATGTCGCATTATTTTCTTTGTCAAATCGATCATGGTCACATCTGTGTATTTCATCGTCATGTTAACGACACGGGATATGTCTGTTGAAATCAGCAATCCTCCTTCCTTAAACCAAATGATGTTTTAGAGGCCGATCCCTAAAACCGATAGGCTGGCAAACAGATGCCAAGTCATGTGTCATACAGAAATAGAACTGAACCGCGTTTTGGCATTAGTCTTATATTAGTACATGAAATAATGCGTTTTACTAAATGTGTGTGTCGTGGCTTCGTTATCTGTTGCCGTGGCTTTGCAACACCTGCTTTCCAGCCAGTCCAAGTTGACCGCCACACATTCTTAAGCTTTGAAACCAAGATATGAGATAGAACACATCCGCACTCTGTAATGGTCAGAATATTCAACGACATGATCTTCTTGTATTTATTTGGACTGGCGTGGATACAGCCGTTTACCGTGTCCCTGCACACCGAACATGTCAGGGTAAAAACTGACCACGTGTTGCAGGTGATAGATGACATGTTTGTTGGCGTCACCATCGACAGCAGTCAACTCAAGAGCAATTTTAAGTACTACAATGTCAGGTATGCATAACATCTGTACAAATATCTTTGACTGATTGGTAACATAAATTACGTTGCTTGGGCTGTGGTAGATGGTGATGAAGATGCACCCAGACAACTGTCATCAGATTCCGTAAACCATTGCCGAGTCAACTAAGTGTCGTCTTGACGATGTCCTCTGTGTTCAGCTTTAACGGAATCACTATAACATCCGATTACCACAATCATCTTCATGGACTCAAAGGGCGGTGGGGCAGCCTAATGGTTAAAGCGTGCGCTCGTCGCGCTGAAGGCCCGGGTTCCATTCTCCACATGGGTACAATGTGTCCAGCCCATGTCTGGTGTCCCCAGCCATGATTTTGCTGGAATATTGCCAACAGCGACGCAAAACCATATTCACTCACTCAGTCAGTCATTGACTTGATTGTTTGTGTGCTTTAGAGATAAATTTGAATACCATTGTGTGTTGCCTTGAAGTGTATCCTTTCTCTTACCTACTTAGCTCACCATATAGTGTCGTATCTAAGATACCGGTGATATGCCAATATTTTGTTCAAGTAGCTTTCAAATTTAGCCTGAAAGGTATATCGGAAGTTGAAGTGAAGACACTCAATTCCAAACCTGGGTACAATCGGTGAAGCCTATTTCTGATGTCCTCTTAATAATGTTGCATAATTGCTATATATCTAAGGTAATATCTAACTCGCTCAGTCTCGTTAAGTTGGCTATGAGTATACTTTCAAGAATCTTGAAGTGAAGCCTATTTTCTGTGTCAACAGCTCTCCCAAAGTGCTGGCCCTTTGAAAGCTTTAGCACCTGCGTATCTGAGAGTCGGGGGCACATCAGGGGACTACATGGTGTTCGACCCGACTTGTTGTAGGGTGGGGTGGGGTGGGGTTGGTTGGTTGTTCTGGCCCATATCCTCCATTTTCCTTTAGAAAAAAAATGGAGGATATGGGCCAGAACTACCAACCAACCCCTATGACGCAACATAGGTGTGACCTTTGTGTGACCTAATTGGTTGTTGAACCCCACCCTCCCCTTTCCGGTGTGTGTGTGACCTTCAGGTTTACCTTAGTGGCCTGTGATTATTATTCAATTATCTTATGAGTGGTATGAGTTTGCCGACTCGAGTGTTCACATGACAAACTAATGCTTAGTCTCTGAATATATATAATTTTGATAGTAACCAACAAGCCCGTTTAAATTAAAAAGGAGCCCTAAGGACACCAGAGATTCAGAACCTGAGGAAATCTAGACTTGCTTTATTTAGGGTTTTAGCACTGCAGAGAGGGTATGTGGCAGTAGGGAAAATAATGTGGTTCAGGGACAGTGAGACAGACTAAGCATACGCGTTCAACGTAGAATTAATATCACACAATGAGGGGGAATTTAGCTGCTATTTATAAGGTCAAAATATCACAGCGCATTTTGTTAAATCAAAGTTCAAAATACGCTGTCACACAAGGAACAACACCGAATGTTCTGAGTATTACATATCTGTCAACAATAAACGGTTGTGGCTGTTAAAATTCATGTGGGTCCGTATATGCGTGAAATAGAGGGCGCAGTCTATAGGCATTAATACAAAACACTATGCTATTCTGCATAGCAGAATCGCTTGCTCGCTGAGCCGTAACTGAAGAGACATGTGACAGCCGTGATTGGATGAAATAGTGTAAGGTGTTATGTTTGTTAAAAGCACCAGCATCCAGTCATTAAAACTGACCACCATTTTTAAGTATTTAATGCTGTCATTTGTATCAATTATGCTTATGCGTGTACAAATTATGTTCAAATAGGTGACAGTTGGTGCGGACCGGGGATGGTTGATGTGTTTAGCTTCCTGTGTGTGACTTCCTGTGCTCGCCGGTTCAAGTTGACCAGAAATTGTTTTATTGTAGGTTAAAGGTCAGACTAAAATCATGTGTACATGGTTGGTGATAATTTTCAGCGTGGTCACATACGGTCAGCTCTCCGCTGTTTAAAGGTCAGACTGTAATCATGAGTACATGACATGGATAATTTTTCAATGTGATGTTGAATGTATGCTGACAAGTGGTCAGCTTCCGTTATGTAGGAAGACAAGTGTCTGACCGGAATTAAATACAGGACATAGTAAGCAGTTGACGACTGATGGTCACTGAATATCTCAAGTAGTTTGATTGTACAGTGATGAAATGATTTAGCATTTGTCATATATATATTACTGAATAAGAAATATGTGTTCTCCTGTAAAACTTTCACTTTTACTCAACATTTTAAAAACTTTACTCTCAAACTGCAAACATAAAAAAAACCCATCTTATATCCATGTTTACGACACTTTTTACATCATGTGACACATAGGTAACCTATATGATGCACAGTGATCACAAGTGATGTATTCATGATCCATTCAATACAGGAAATAGTAAGCAGTTGAGGACAGATGGTCATTGAATATCTCAAGAAGTTTGATTGTACAGTGATGAAATGATTTAGCATTTGTCATATATATATATATATATATATATATATATATATATATATATTACTGAATAAGAAATATGTGTTCTCCTGTTAAACTTTCACTTTTGCTCAACATTTTAAAACTTTACTCTCAAATTGCAAACATAAAAAACCCATCTTATGTCCATGTTTATGACACTTATTTGACATCATGTGACACATAGGTTACTCACATGCCGTTAGTCGCCTTTTATGACAAGCATGGGTTACTGAAGGGTAACCCAGACCTTCATGGGTACAATACATTAAGAAACAAGAAAGATATACAGATTTCATTGTTTTGTTAGCTCCGTTTCAAATGAGTAGGCTTTAAGATAGGAGCTCTCCCAAATGTCTACTTTACATGTTGTGCTAATTGTCTTATTACCCTTCGTCATCGACCTGTCCTTCACTCATTACATCAGATGTCATGTCTTCATAATCATCATCAATTAAGTCTTCTACCCAAGATTTATATTGGTACAATTTTGAAATCACTTCATGATACATATTATTTGTGTCTTTTACTCGTTTCAGTATTCCTTGTGTCTTTGGTCCATACTGCATATGGTACAGATTAGTAATAAATCGGGCATACGTCTCTTTAAACGTGCTCCAGATGAATTTCTTCAGTTTGGCTTGAATCATCTCTTCGTTTAAACCTCTTTCATGTACAGCTGTCGTTTCTCATCCAAAAAGTCTTTATTCAGCTCACGCGTACGTGAATACATTTGTCTTATACGTTGCACTTCAGGATCAGCCATCTTATTTTTCCTGGTGTGTGTGACATCGCTCAATGATTCAACATCATCATCCTCATTTTCCATTTCAGGACATTGTTTATCGTGTAAATGTCTTTGTAAGTGCTAAACACTTGACCACAATAGTCACAGTCCACCAGAGGACGTGGTCTCTTCACAGGTGTGAAGTTGTTGTCCTCCTCCCACTGCCTTTTCACTTGGGGTATCCCAGGAGGACCCACTGAAGACTTTTCGGGACACCAGTTTCTTCTGTGTTTTTGCAAATCTTGCACGTCTTGAAACATGAGTCCACAGTCATCACAAGATGGCATGGTTGAGAGGTTTTCTTCACACATCTGCTCAGGCTGAACGTCTAACTCGGACTGAATTGTCCTGGCTTGGAGGTCTGCTTTTAAGCTGAATGCATTAGGACAAAGTCGCATACGGGGAGGTGTTTGGGGTTTTAGATCAACCAACAAGTAGCCATAAGGCTTCTGGGTAGCCCTTTGAAACGGCTCCATGAAATGGTCTGTGTTACATTGATACATTTGCCTCGCCAAAGTCATGATGGGTTGTTGATCGATAGGGTTGTTGAACAGAAGCAGATAATGACAGTTTCTTCGTTGTGTGGGATCCTTACTGAAATACAAATTCTGGTTCAAGGCGATCACTGAGAGATTACGATGATGACTTCCTTCTGTAAACAGATGTGTAATGCGTGGGTCTTTGCTGGCAGTAGACATTAAGTCATCGAGGATAACCACGTTCACAACACTGGGGTCCAGAAATGCATCCGTTTCGAGATCAGAAGGAATACCTTGATGAAATTCCACATAGGGATAAACATGGGTTTGAATGGCATTATACAATGGCTGCCATCGTTTGTAGAGCCATATAATACGTTCAGGATAAGGTTTAATGTTCATCCTTTCTAGAAGCTGTTTCACTAAGTAGGTTTTCCCGCAGGAGGTTGGCCCTGAGACGATCATGGTGAATGGATGTCGCAGCCTACATTCTTCCAATGACTGGCTAGTACTTTCTGATGAATGTGGTTGCACTGGTGCTGCTGCTGCTGCTGTGGTTGTGGAGGAGGAGGAGGAGGAGGAGAGGGTTGTTGATGTGGTTGTGGAGGAGGAGGGAGTTGTTGATGTTTCTGTCTTCTATGTCTCAACATATTGTCTGTCCTGGAAAAAGTCATATAGCACACGGGACACGTTGTTGACTGCATGGTGGTCCGAGTCTAAATGGTAGGGAACCATGTCTACTGACTGCTTTTATCTAAAAAGTCGTCTTCCGTTTCTTCATGGGAATCTGGGAGGAACTTCCAACTTTAGATCCCCCTTTCTTCTGCATCTGAATAAGAGCCTTGGTTTGTTCGACCACTTGTTGAGTAGGGGTAACAAAATTAATCTTAGGTTGTTCTGAGGTTTCTTTTGGTTTATCTTTCTTCCACTCTGGGTCATACAGTTCCAAGTATCGATTGACAGACATCATGGCAGATTTTTCTCCTCCACGCATCATAGAATGATAAGGATCTCCTTTCCCTTCAGCCCTGAGCATGTAAAATCGTGTCCTTTTTTTCGGCATCGGGTACGAAGAGTTTGTATTGTGGATTATTCATGATGAAAACGGGAGCGGCTTGAGGTGATGCGTCACTGTCACTGGTCCACGACTAAATGAAGTTAGATAGCCCTTGTGGCCTGTTATATAGATATTTTCATTGACCTTGGGCTTGGTGTAGCTTTCAACATCGCTGCCAGGATGGTCATACATGCTCTTTCCCCTGATTGACAAACCTAAGACAGGTGTACCAGATGTACTAAGCCAATGCTCTATCAAACAACCAGGCATTTTGAATGGCCTCATCTCTAAGTGCATTGACAAACTGTGGTTTCAAAACAAATGCTACGATTGGCATGTTACTGGCAAAAAAGACTCTTCCACATACTGTCTGTCGTCCAAAGGGTGTGAAATTATCTTCGTAACACAGCTAGGTAGTTATTTCTATCATTTTTTATCAGGAAACGACGCCTTTCATATCGAGTCACTGGTAATCTTCCCTTTAATAACCTATTGATAATACCATTGACGGCAAGAATCTGTTTGCTGTTAATTTCTAAGATGTCTTGTCGAATCTCCTCAATGTCTTGAAACATTAACATGAACCTTAAAAATTCGTAATATTTCAACACGTACCTAGCCATAATAGTTCTAGCAAACAAGCTCTTATCGTGGTTGGGATATCAATGAGATTAGTATTTGAGTAAACCTCTATTTATACATCGACAAAAGACTATACATAGACAACCAATGCACATATATACTCTAAACATTGATTTATTTCTAATATTCACACATTTTACATCACACTCTTGGTTGCAAATCCACATGACTACCCCAGCGGGCCATATTTTTCTGAGGTACTCCCACCAGGGCCAAATACGGACAGTCTGGAGACCATTTTTCATGTTCGACCCAGGGATTGTCATCTACTTCCCAGTTCTTGAGAACAAGACCACATTGAAAACACTTGTACAAGTACACAAATCCTGCCTGGGCCATGCGACTAGGACTCTGTTTCATCTGCACTGGCCAGTCCTTAAACGAATCAAGTCTTTTCTGGAATAAGCCCATTTAGTACTGATTGCACAACAATCGAGTGTCTTGTCGAGGTAACACGTCCGCACAGTACAGTGTCTAAACCAAGAATGGCTTTACACCCAACGACTGTAGTCACTAAGGTTACAGAAGGAACACATTCTTGCCGAAAGAGGCGACTAACGGCATGTGAGTAACCTATGTGTCACATGATGTCAAATAAGTGTCATAAACATGGACATAAGATGGGTTTTTTTTATGTTTGCAATTTGAGAGTAAAGCTTTTAAAATGTTGAGTAAAGTTTAAATGACAAATGCTAAATCATTTCATCACTGTACAATCAAACTACTTGAGATATTCAATGACCATCTGTCCTCAACTGCTTACTATTTCCTGTATTGAATGGATCATGAATACATCACTTGTGATCACTGTGCATCATATAGGTTACCTATGTGTCACATGATGTAAAAAAAGTGTCATAAACATGGATATAAGATGGGTTTTTTTTATGTTTGCAATTTGAGAGTAAAGTTTTAAAATGTTGAGTAAAAGTGAAAGTTTTACAGGAGAACACATATTTCTTATTCAGTGATACATATGACAAATGCTAAATCATTTCATCGCTGTACAACCAAATTACTTGAGATATTCAGTGACCATCAGTCGTAAACTGCTTACTATTTACTGTCCTTAATTTCGGTCAGACACTTGTCTCCTTACATAATGGAAGCTGACCACTTGTCAGCATACATTCAACATCACATTGAAAAATTATCCATGTCATGTACTCATGATTACAGTCTGACCTTTAAACAGCGGAAAGCTGACCGTATGTGACCACGCTGAAAATTATCACCAACCATGTACACAATATTACAGTCTGACCTTTAACCTACAGTAAAACAATTTCTGGTCAACTTGAACCGGCGAGCACAGGAAGTCACACACAGGAAGCTAAACACATCAACCATCCCCGGTCCGCACCAACTGTCACCTATTTGAACATAATTTGTACACGCATAAGCATAATTGATACAAATGACAGCATTAAATACTTAAAAATGGTGGTCAGTTTTAATGACTGGATGCTGGTGCTTTTAACAAATATAACACCTTACACTATTTCATCCAATCACGGCTGTCACATGTCTCTTCAGTTACGGCTCAGCGAGCAAGCGATTCTGCTATGCAGAATAGCATAGTGTTTTGTATTAATGCCTATAGACTGCGCCCTCTATTTCACGCATATACGGACCCACATGAATTTTAACAGCCACAACCGTTTATTGTTGACAGATATGTAATACTCAGAACATTCGGTGTTGTTCCTTGTGTGACAGCGTATTTTGAACTTTGATTTAACAAAATGCGCTGTGATATTTTGACCTTATAAATAGCAGCTAAATTCCCCCTCATTGTGTGATATTAATTCTACGTTGAACGCGTATGCTTAGTCTGACCCTGAACCACATTATTTTCCCTACTGCCACATACCCTCTCTGCAGTGCTAAAACCCTAAATAAAGCAAGTCTAGATTTCCTCAGGTTCTGAATCTTTGGTGTCCTTAGGGCTCCTTTTCAATTTAAACGGGCTTGTTGGTTACTATCAAAATTATATATATTCAGAGACTAAGCATTAGTTTGTCGTGTGAACACTCGAGTCGGCAAAGTCATACCACTCATAAGATAATTGAATAATAATCACAGGCCACTAAGGTAAACCTGAAGGTCACACACACATACCGGAAAGGGGAGGGTGGGGTTCAACAACCAATTAGGTCACACAAAGGTCACACCTATGTTGCATCATAAAAAGAAAATGGAGAATATGGGCCAGAACACCCCATCCCCCACCCCCACCCCTACAACACCGGCTCACTATATAGCTACTGGCCAGCAGTTTCAACTCCAAGGTAGCTGAACAACATTGTTATGGTTCCAAGTTTTTTAAATCATTTAATCAAAAGGAGTTCCCCATCACTTTCGGGCTGCATATATCCAACCAAACTCGAATCTTTTGAATTACTGGTTTGGAATGAGATGTTGTCATAGTAGTACACAATTAAATGTACGTTGTCTACAATATCAGTTGTCAGCCCTATTGTTGTAGAAGACAAGGTGGCTGAATAGGTTAGATGGCTGACTTTGCGTGCTCTCGAATGGCTGCCTGACTGCGTAGCTTCGAATTCTAGTGGGAGTCAACCTCAAAAGTACTAGAATTTGTATTGCATTGAGCAAGTGTAATACGAGATGACAACTGGAAGCAGGAAATGGAACACTTTTCATGGATAGACAACTTCTTTGTTGCAGTAGTAGTTGCGACGTTTCGGTGTAGATCCTAACACCGTTATGTTTTCATTTGCTTGATAACGGTGTTAGGATCTAACACAAATCGCAACGTCGCAACTACTACTGCAACAAAGAAGTTGTCTATCCATAAAAAAGTGTTCCACTTCATCATACCAGCTTCTAAATGCCACTTAAGGAAACTAGTAGTCTGGATCATGAACTTTGTGTACACCTCTCAAACCTGGTAATTCTTACTGAGACCGGGGCCGGATCTATGGAAACACAGGAAAATGTATTTTGTTAGTAGTGTGTTACTGAGGAAGTTGAATGCCAAATATACTGAGGGAACAAAATAAGGGATCACATGAAAGCATAAGTGTTCCTTTATGTTTTACCCAGGTTTATTCACAAGCTTTGTATCACACAACTGTGAAGAAGCCTGGAAAAAATACAGGAACACTTGTGCTTTCATGTGATCCCTTATTTGTTTCCCTCAGTATATAACGTGTTGCCACGATTACTTTTTAAACGGAATTGTGCGTTTACAGTGAAATATTATTCGTCCGGACCCTCTTACCCATTCCCCCGAACATGTTACTGCAGTAGAGTAACGTTGTGAAGAAAGGTTTTGATATTCTATATTGACATAATCCTGCTATCAGTTCACGGGGAACAGGTCTGGGTAATGCTGGTTACAACAGCATTCAACAACCCCGGGACTGAAGGATTTCTCTAGTTTCAGGATCATACTATGTCCGTTACGAATCAAGATGGAGCTTCCTGCACGTGTGGTTTGAATTAGTTTTAAAACATTACTGAAAACAGAAAACTGTATGTGAACATTCGAGTAAAATCCCTTTTTCAGCAAAGACCTGGGATGATCTCAACATGTTTCTTCATAAGACTGGGTTCAAGCTAGTGATTGGTCTCAACGTCATGCTTCGTGACGGAACAAGATGGAACCCATCAAATGCAAAGCTGTTGCTCAAATATTCCTCTGACAAAGGGTATCCCTTTGCAGGGATTGAACTTGGAAATGGTAGGTTTGAACAATGGATATGCCATATCTATCACAGATCAATAAGTTCCCGCCATGATACTGGATTGTTTGGCCCTGACTATTGCTTACAGAGCACCGCCATACAGCTGGAAAATTGTAATAACAGTTCCGAGCAACCCCAACTTGTATGAGGAGACTAAATAGATCATGCTGTTGATCATTGGATTGTATGGTCCAGACTTTATTATTTTCAGACCGCTGCCATACAGCTGTAATATTACTGAGTGCAGTGTTAAACAACAAACGAACACACAACACACAGATGGGTAATAACCCGTTTGGTGATCCCGAGCAACCTCAACTTGTATGAGGTGACTGACTGGACCGAATGTTAGGCTTGGTAATTTGGTTCATCACGTGTCATCGTAACCCTCGGCCTGGATGTTGAACATGGTATCAATTATTTGCTTGTCTGTGCGTTAACCAATACACAAGCCCGACGAAAATATACAGGAATATCATCTCTGACGTCATTGACATCGACATTGAATGGGACCGCACAGTGTGATTAGTGTAATATGTATTTGCTTCGTATTTTTAAATTCATTTCATTCATTTAAATTCTTGTGTATGTGGACAGGTTTTCTAGTCACGCTTGATGCACTCATTTTCTATTCTTCTCGTTGAGAACCGAACTTGTTTTGCCAACATTGGAACACAACCGTCAGTGATGTTCAGCTTGGAAGGGACTACAAGGAGCTGAAACAAGTTGTCCAAAGAAATCCCTATAAGTCCAGTCTCATCCTTGGACCTGACATAGCTGGGTATAAAGACAAGTTTATAAACAAGTATGAACATAATACACATTATATGCTCTTTACTTAAGAATATGCCAGATAGTACTTACAGACCTAGGTGGTTAATAGTTTCATATTTGAACCGTATGCCTCCTAGTTTGTAGTGGTATTCCTTCTGTATAGAGTTAGCAGGGTTGGGCGTAAAGCACTGCACACCAAACTGTTACGTATCTTAAGTCAGACAGCATCTTGCCAGTGCGGCCAAACCAATGAACGTTTATGACCTGTGTCAGTTCGAGTTCTCTCCCTATGCTGACATGCAGTGAAAGCGTTGAAACCAAACACACAATAGCTTAAAGGTTTACACATCAGATACTGACAGAAATAATGGTAATGCACTTATGATATATTAATTGATAAACATGTCTATTTAATTTGTCCAATGTGACCTTTCACTTCCAGCTTCCTGTCCAATGGTGGAGTCAGTGTCCTAGACGTCCTGACCATCCATCAGTGAGTATCGTCCTTGGGTGGTATTATCAGAGATGTGGCTTAGAGTGTCCTTTTCATGATCATGGTCATCCAGTTCAGTTAGAAAATGCAGATGACACATATATACCGAGAACATGGTAGAATGCAATGGAAACGTAAATGACACAGGTGATGGTATATTTCTATGTGGCTGGATGTAACAGAATAGATTCAACGATTCAATGAATCCCTAATCATGACCAGAAATATGTTAATTAAAGAACTGATTGTTGAGTGTTACACACTCAAGAATTTTAACAACACATCTTGTTCCTCTTTACAGTTACTATTTTAATGGACAAACCGCCAAACTGGAAGACTTTTCTAAATCTTCCATAATGGATAAGCTTATATCTGAACTACACACAGTCGCGGGGATTGTCCGAAACCATCACGGTCTGGTGGCGTGGCTTGGGGAGACTTCTTCTGGCTATGGCGGCGGCACTCCTGGCATAGGCGATAGATATGTGGCAGGCAATCTGTGAGCATTTTAGCTTTCCAAATGATTAAAGTTTTAGAGTTTCATATTTCTGAAAAGGTCTCTGGCTCAAATAATAGATGTAAAAAGAGCCACCAATCATTGAATACACACGAGGTTAAAAACAGCTCCCTGAGTAAGTTCTAGTTTACGTGTGTAGATCCAGATTCCGTTAACATGTATTACGTTCCGCCGAAACTCAAGATATTGAGAATCAATTACAAAAGGTGTCCTATGGACGTGAAGAGGCTCTCGTTTCCGGTCACATGGCACGTCGTTGCCGATGATGTTTGTCTTGACTGTGTGGCATGACTGTGTGGCATAGTTATATTCAGGTTGTGTTCCTGATACGTGATTGGCGGAAAATGCATTTTGTGTACAAGTAATCTATTTCCGTTGACCGTTATATTCCAATTACAGATGGCTTGATAAACTTGGTGCATCAGCAAAATATGGTTTAAAAGGGGTCCTGCGTCAGGGATTCTTCGGAGGTCATTATTCACTTCTTGACAGCAACAGCGACCCCAATCCTGTACGTACACGTGATGTCTCAAATGTCACAATGTGGTAGTGCCGATTAACCTTTGTCGCAATTCCACTTAATAATAAGTCACCAGTATTTCCTGTTTTTAAAAATCTGACTACGATGAGTAATGGGTAACCATTCCCTCTGACTTGTCTTTCATCAATATTATAATTCTTACATAGAGCCCACCATAATTTCATTTTCAGGACTATTGGTTGACGCTTCTATACAGGAGACTTGTTGGCAACAAAGTATTTGATATTCCATCCTCATCGGACAACATCCGACTGTATGCCCACTGTACGAAGCTTAACAAGTGAGTTTTTGGTAACAGCTCTGTTCACAACCTGTTTAAAGACTATTGTTACATAGTGAGTGAGTGAGTGAGTGAGTGAGTGAGTGAGTGAGTGAGTGAGTGAGTGAGTGAGTGAGTGAGTGAGTGAGTGAGTGAGTGAGTGAGTGAGTGAGTGAGTGAGTGAGTGAGTGAGTGAGTGAGTGAGTGAGTGAGTGAGTGAGTGAGTGAGTGAGTTGGTTAATATTTAGCATCACGTCGGCAATATTTCAGCCATATCGTGACGAGAACTATTTCATTTATATCAACATTAATATCAGTAAATTGAGCACATAAAAACCTGTCATCGTAGTATGACAGCTCTTAATTTGAAACTAGTACAGCATCATAAAAATATATCACTATAGACAACAATACAATATAAAAACGGGCTGGAGATCACCAGAAACTGAAGGTAGATCACCACGCTAGGGACCATGGGGACTTACAGTACCTTTGCTACCTGCATGGACCCTAGACGGATTTATATCAACCCTTCAGCAGCTGACGATTGTAGTCAAATTTAGCCAAAATGACAAAATATTACATATAAAAAATCTGGTAAAGTTATATTTCCTTTGAATGTTTCGGGACTTACATACCCTCTCAAGAAGACAATACTGTTTTGTTACACTGGAATATACACATATGCTTCCAGCGTAATGAACGGAGGTTCACATTTGATATCACTCACAAGAAACAATATTTCAACATGTGTTTTAAAATAAGAAGTATGGACATGCTTTGAGCGTCCAAAACGCAAAGAGAGCACATAGACATGTGTTTAATACGTTAGAAATCGGGCATGGACGTGACAGCACAACCTGTCACACCGGGTAACAAGGCAGTGTGTTCCTTGTTGGTCGCTGTTGTCAGATCTAATTGATTTCCTACATCGACAAGTTACAGGTTGCACATACCGTTTTCGCTGTAATATATTTATGTGACAATGCCTGGCTCTCTGCTGAATATTAGTATAGTAACTGAGAATGTAAGGTTACAGGTAAATCACAGTGACGTCCTGATGTCCTGATGTATGGAATATTTACAACACAGCGACTGTCAAATCAAATACCTACATTTTATGGAGAGTAAAGTATCTGATGACCTATACTGGCCTTTGATGTGTTATCACTGGTACATGTTTCAGTGTGTATAACTACGAGCCTGGAAGCATCACAGTGTATGCTCTCAATCTAAATACAGCTCCCGTAATCCTGACCATATCGGATCTGCACGGCCGATCCGCAGACGCATTCTGGCTGACTCCAGAGGGAGGAGACTTGAAGTCACAGTATGTGGATACATCGTACAATCCTACCTTTAAGCATAATGATATAAATATAACAATATGCTGATATAGTTCATTAGCAGTGTTTCTTGTGAATGGCTGGATGTTTGGGCGTAGCCTAGTGGTTAAAGCGTTGTGTCTATGTGTCAGTCCCTTTTCTCGTGTTCCGTTGCTAGAATATTGCTAAAAGCGGCGTAACCCTCATACTCTTGTGAATGACGTCCAATGATGAACATCATGCAGATACACATTTTGTCTCTGAAGCAGGAGATATAACAGAAGGTGGGAGAGCTTACCAGACATAATGGAAAACACTGGCAAAAACTGATTCTGGTGTCTTAGAGTTTTCGCCTATCTTAGCAATATTCAATTGTGTGGCACAAGAGACGGGCTTCAGACATTGAACTTATGTGGGGAATCGAATACCGGCTTGGTGAGCAAACGCTTCAACCACCTGACTACCCCGCCTCCCGAAGACAGTAGATGAAGACCTTAGATGAAGACCAACATACAATTTTGTACACATATTTGCAAGAGTGACAGGGTAAGTGAGATGAATACGTCAGTTCCTTCCGTCTACCAATTAAATTTCTTCATTGTTTCCAGAAAAGTACGGTTAAATGGCAAAACCTTGGAACTTGTCAACAACCAAATACCACAGATGACACCCAGACATCTGGGAAACAGGCAGATGACAGTACCTGGAAACACCTTTGGCTTCATCGTTATCCCCGACGCCAACATAGCGGCATGCCAATCACAAGGCCACGGTACTATTATCGGATAGGTATACCAACATTCTGTTATTTAAAGGTTTGCTAAATGTTCTAGATGATGTTTGTTGGTAAGGAATGTATGAATCTTATGTGTGCGTTGAAGTACGTCAGACTGCGTACAATGATTGAAAACTGGCATTTACGGAATAAAAGGGTTCAGAACATATGTCCTTTTGTAAAGAACACATATTAATATACGTTTTGGTAATCCATATATTTCACAGATTGAAATTCGACAGAAACCACGATGACAACCATTCATATTCAAACCGTCATATTCCATTGCATTATACCAACTATTTCACAACAAATATGCTAAGATAATCACTATCAAATGAGATGATAGCAAGTGTTCCTTTCTGTTAACAAAGTGTCATGAGGGAAACATGATTAGAAGCTGTTTAGATAGAACGGAACGTTTAAATATCCAAATCTAAAAATATTTGATTATGTTAAATCAAGTGGTAACACACAGTTGTGGCTAACGTAAAAGAATGGACAACTGAGCATAATATTTTGAGACATCAACTAGCTGCTTCGCTTCCAATCAAAGAGGCGCAGTGGGATAGCCTAGTGGTTAAAGCGTTTGCTCGTCACGCCGAAGGCCCGGTTTCGAATCCCCACATGGGTACAATGTGTGAAGCCCATTTCCGGTGTCCCCCGTCGTTAAATTGCTGGAATATTGCTAAAAGCGGCGTAAAACCTAACTCATTCACTCACTCCAATGAAATAATCTGGCAAACAAATTTATCAAACTTATGTAAAAGGGAACAGCACATGGATGACAGATCAACATTTATTTGAAATACATACCTTACAACCAACATACGTTACTACCAACATACCTTACAACCAACCTGTGAAATGGCCTATTTCATGAAATAAGCAATGTCATTTATAAGTAATAAAAATATATTTACTTTGATATTGTCGTGTGTCGATATTGCAATGTTGGGATCAAATACACCTTTTTAAATATTGTACTGTGATCAAAGATCCATGTTGAACTGACGTTAGGTTTATGCAGTAAAAGTGGATAGACACACATAAATCTGCAGCAAAGAACAGATGCGCTCATAAAATATCGACTGTTGTAGTTACCATATTGCACCAGAATTATGATTTGTTGACACTTTGAGTCGTTCTATGTCCTGTACATTTATACCGTGCTATAGCATATACGTAGGAATCGGATCCATGGCAGGCCTCAAATCCGTGGCGGATTTCCAAATCCATGGCAGAATTTCAAATCCATGGCTAGTTGTCATACCTACCCTAATCTGTGGCGGATTTCCTACTCATCGTCATTAGAACATTTCAGCTCGGTAGAATAGGGGTTAATTGTAATTCCTTTATGTGTTTCTAACTTAATGATACCCCTCTGGGCCTAGATTTTCGAAACTCTGTTAGCGCTAAGATCGTCTTTCGATATTGCTAATATTCTTACGACTATCATAGAAGTAAGAGAGCTTCGAAAATTTAGGCCCGCCATTAAGGGAAACCCGTCATTGATTAGAGACCCGCCACAGATCTGAGTCCTACATATATAAAATAGATTTTGAAAGGTACTTGATAATTACTTAAATGCGAACAATATGTGCGGCGTTTGGTAACGTAACAATGTTCAAGGTCATCTAGGGCACGATGATACGTAGGATAACAATGTTCATTTTAGAAATTATTGCAAGTGTACTTTACTTGGTGGAAACTGTCTCCCAAACACACCCTGCGGAACAAGTCCAGAAGCTAACCCACAAATCTTCAACAAGTGCAGTTTATGCACATGCCATATGTTGGTATTCAACCTGCATGGGTTACAATGATCAGTCATTGTTTCTATCACTGTGGTACGAAGAGGGCTATCAGATGGACCAAAATGTTCTCCAGTTCTTGGTCTGATGAAGGCAGATTCCTTTTTCATATAACTGGCGGGTTGTTTAGAGTTTGGAATCAACGGAATACAGCATTTACAGCAAAAACATGAAAGCATAGAATGTACACTATACAGTTGTCAGTCGTTTGGTCAAAACAGGGTGGCGTCAGATCGTGGAGACAGCACTATTGACGCTCACTCCAGTGGAATTAGAAGAATACATTGGTCTGATGGAAGCCGATTCCTTCTTCATAAAGCTGTTGAGGCAGCGAGATATAGCATTTGCTGCAAAAGCAATTCAACCAACTGTTTCCTTTGTTGGAGGCTCCGTCATGGTGTAGCGATGTACCTCTCAAGACTGTAAACCTGACTTGTGAGAATTTGACGGGGGATCAGTATATCCAGAAAGTGCGAGATCCAGTTGTCGTCCTCCACTTTGATAAGCAAATCTTGCTATAAGACCTGTATTTATGGAGATCAACTAAACGACACACCGTTCTCGTGACAGCTTTCATTCAGAATAATGCAGTGTCGCCCTCTCCGTTGGCCATCATGAGTCTAGACCAGACCTGAACCAACTGGAGCAGGACTTTATCGGGCGACGGATACAAGCTGCGGGAGTTGGAAGCAGCTTTGCACCAAGAATATTGACAGTTTCCTCTTTAATAGATTCGGTATGCGATCCAAGTTATCTTGTTGGAGGGTATACTATAACAAAGTTCCCAGGTTACAAATAACCGTGCTGTTTTCACATCACATACACGCCATGTTTCCTGATCCTCTCGCTGGCTCCATACTTGTAACAGGTATCATTTTAAACCTTACAACATATGATTTGAAGATGCGATATCCGCTTTTAAAACGTTGAAGGAAACTGTCCTTTTTGTGCTTTCTTGTAGTCGAGACATGCCCTAACATAAAAACCATGCCTCTTTTCCAAGGTACAATGCGTGTAGACCAGTAATGTTAGCTTACCTTATTCCCTGATGATGTATATGCAACATGGAACAACATAGAATGTAGTCTTTCTGTATGTTCCATGGGTCAGGGGACAGAAACTTCACGAACAACTTGTCAACTAATCAGAACAAAGGGATCAATCACAATAACGAAGCTGGTACGAAATCCATCCGTTTTCAGACGTCATGCTGAATGATGCCATGTCTCTGTTGTAGAGGGCGCAGATAGCCTGTTGTTTGTTGTGGCTATACATGTGGCAGTTTCCGTGTGCCTGATACTGTGTGCCACAGTGTAAGCCACTCCAAGCCTTGGTCTCGTACAACAGCTCATCGGAGTACCTCCCAGTTCTGCTAGCTACTCCATACAGCGACTCATACCCCTCACCTGCAAACACAAATGTATGATTAGGGTTATGATAGGTAAATAATGTAAGAAGCCTACAGTGGTTGATGCTTATCATCCTCCTCAAGATGTTTGTCGGTTCATTTCCAAATATTTTCTAGCTAAAAGCTCCGGACCAAAAGCCGGACATTGGCTGTACCGTGATTTACAAACAAAAAATAGCCTTGAGATTTGAGACATGTAAAAGTACCGGTTGTGCAAACAGATCACTTTAGAGCGGTCCTGAGTTAACCTGAATTTGTATCCCACCTGAGGCAAAGTTGTTATTTAGCCTAAGGGCCAACTGCGATGATGGAAATTCGACTGCGTTCATAAAAAATGAAACAATGTCAAAACGAGTGGTGTCGTCCTGGGCAGATGCCTCAGTACAATTGTGCCTCTGTTTACTCAACACGGAATGGTTAAAATGCAAATAGTGGGGCGGCAAAGATCATGTTTTCATAAGAATTGTGCATTTGATGATAAAAGCACCAAATTGGTCATCATGTAAAAGAACATTTCTGACATAATTTCAGATATGGAGGCACCTCAAATTTTGTATCTTATGCGCATGCGCAGTACATAAACTTTGACATACTATTTTCAGCGTTTCTCATTAAATCTTTAATATAACCATTCATTACACACCTATAATTTTCATAAATAGTGATTTACAGGTTCATGAAATGACATAATTTCATAATTTTAGAATAATACAAAACATTTCGAACCTATGGACACCCCCTTTACCCAAAATGGCGGCAAGCAGATAGCTTTTTGGACCATTGAACTCTTCGAGAAAATGTGTGAGTGCTTGGTGTTCTGTTATCGGAAAAAACCATAGTTACTTCCTCAAAGAATGACCATAACAACATGTGCTTTTACATGGTCGCAGCCATCACTTTAATAACAAGAGACATAACTCCGTCATTCACATACCACTAATAGGATAACCCTACATCTCTCTTTTTCAGCTAAAGCAACACAACAAACCAAACTAACTATCCATGAATTATGGATTTTCTCTAAACATCAATTATGCAAACAGTCCTTGTTGCATTTCCGATGAAATCAAACAAATCATTAAAGTCAAAGATTGAGTCTGTCTGGAGGTTTGACTCTTCGTCCATTCCGTGTGAACACCACCCTTGGATCCGGGAGACTCTCAGAACTAACAACTGGACTGGTTGGATTTGTGGATTGTGGAGTCTCTGTGCTAGGTGCCTTCTTTGGGACGATCCTTAAGGAACCCGATTTCGTCGCAAGTTTCAGCTCCGTGTTTTCTCTATATAGGATCTTGGAGTATTCGCTTTTCCGACTACTGCACCCTTCTCCTCTTCTACCAAGACTTCATCTCCTGGTTCGAGATGTGTCATTGCTTTGCTCTGTGTCTTTTGTCGACCAGTTTTCTCTGGACGTTTGTGTGTTCCTCATGGCTTCGAAACTTATGAATGTCTATAGGTTTGGGTTGAAGTTGTCCTGGATAAACTGGAAGTCGAGACCTTAACTTCCGACCCATAAGCAGTTCACCTGGACTTAGTCCCATAGACACTGGTGTTGCACGATACTCTAAAAGAGCCTAGTAGGGATCTTTAGCTTTCTTGAGCATATTCTTGACTGTTTGTACAGCCCTTTCCGCCTCTCCATTGCTCTGGGCATACAAGGGACTGCTCGTCACATGCTTGAAGTCATAAGACTTTGCAAACTCATGGAACAACTCCGATGAATACTGGGGACCGTTGTCTGGAAAGACAATCCCATGTCGAGCAAACACTGAGCGTAAGTGACTGACCATCGAGCTAAATGTGGTAGAGGATAACTTGGCGACTACCACGTATACTGAGAG